AAGAGATCGGTAATTGCAACTGGGAAAGGTCCAAGAGTTTGAGTACTAAATCACGACGGATGACAGAAAAATGACTCAGATTTTCATTAGAGGCGAGTAAACTTTATATGCTATTCCAATCTCAATGAAATAGATTCGAAGTTTATGACATCCAAATAAGATCTTTACATTTCCAGAAAGAGAAAGGTAGAACTCGGTAGATTACCTCATCCTCGTCTTGCGTTTCTACTTCAAGATCAGATGACGGATAGCCCACACAGAGAAGTGCATACCCCTGCATTTCCGACAAGATTACAACTATTCAAGAATACTTTAATCATAACTTCGCATTATTGGTTTCAAATAATTTCTACATCGTCGAGAAATATGATCAGTTTGTGGCTACCAGGACTTGTTCTAGTAACATTGTAGGGGGAGGTTACATCGACACCTTCGAAGCACTAAAGGTCAAATTCGTGTGTACACCCAAGGATTAATATTGTGTGTGGTGCACACAAGAACCCCCTGCACATAAAGGACTAGTTCCCAAAAGAATTTGGCAGATCAAAACCCCATAAGTTTCCCATCATGTCAGCAATTAAGAAGGCCATTTCCCAATACTTTTCCAATTGTATGTGTTCTTGTTTCCAACTTCGATACGTTATCTTAAGACGCTACTACAAAAGTAGTAGCCCTGACATTCGTTTCTTGTTTTCCATGATTTATTCATCGAACAAACCCAGTGTTCAAGTAAACTCGAAAATATACGTTGATTGACTATCAATGAACAAACCTTTGATGCAAAATCAAGACATTGTGCACATTATTAAAATCATAAAAAGGCCTCAAAACTACATGCCTTTGATTTCAGTTCAGCAGAAATCCCTAGTGCCTCAGGCTGTCTAAGTTCTCCAGATTTTACGCGTACAGCACAACTAGTACAACAACCTGCCGAGGAAAAACAAGTGGGATTCTATCATAAATAAATTGGAAAAAGAAGAAAAAGGAAACAAACCCACATCAAATCATGTCCTACAGATTGAATTGGAAAAATTCAACGTCACATTATAACCTATCCCGTATGAATGTGGCTACGATACATACATTTACTTAATACATTCACCATCTAACAGTCAGATACGCAACCAAAAACAGATAATATCATATATGCCAACATTTGACCGTAACATGGTGAATGTATTAAGTAAATGCACGTAACCATAGCCAGTCCCGAGTTTTCATCCACTTCAAGAAAATTTTTTGTAAAAAATGAATAAACGAACAGTACCGTGCCTGCAAGCGAATGGAAGAGTGATGTCCTGCGACTCTGCTGTGTGCAATATGTATTGGTCCTGAAATTTCAATTTCAATACGTTCACTTAATTTTCTAGGGAAAATAGAGAGAATTTTCTCTGAATTTCTCAGCAACCAAACAAACAAAGAAAGAGAAGGCCAGACTCGGCAATTACCTCAGGGACGAGGAACTGGTGGGAGACGCCTCGTTGTCGGTCGTGAACTGTGACTGTGTGTGTGGGAACTGAAGGAGAGTAGTCACCGGTTCGGTCGTTGACAGCCACCTGAGTTTGGAGCTCGGAAGTCGTGTTGCGGCGCCATTTGGTTATGTTGGAGTGGTGGGTGACGGTGTTCGGCCAAGTGATTTGGCAGTTGAGTGGCGGTTTCCGGTGGATAGAAAGGGAAATGCAGGGATTGCAGGGAATGGCATGGTCCATGACTCCAACTCTGGTTGACGGGTAAGCCATGCGCAGTTAAGAAGATAACGAAGATCCTATTTGGAACCATAAATAGTTACGACCAATCAGAGCGTGCCACGTAAAGTATAATATCAGAAAGACAAAGCTCCCCTTGACAGGATAAGCCGACCGTTATCTAAACCCTAACGGGCTAAAACAGATTAATCCAAGAGAGGCAGAAGTCGACAACTATCATGCCCAACTGATCCCTATATTCACCATGTTAAAGTGTCCCACTTCGGTGGGGTGAAGAAATCCAATGTGTTTAAATACGATTACTCTATTTTAACTAATATCGAGATCTTTTGTGATAAAATTTTATACCTGACGGGTTGGGCGGATGGTAAAGGTGGGAATAGTATCGGTGTCGTTATAGTGGAGCGGGCCTAGCGATCCAAAAATTCCAACATGGTATCAGAGCCCCGGTTCGGGCCCGTGCAAACCAATGAGCTTGTCACCCATAAGAAAACAAGTTTGAACTCTTAATATAAAGACAACCACTGAGTTCCAATTGAAAATAAGTAGGCCCAACGTGAGCCGACCTCTATGTTTCAATTACGTTGTTATAGTGGAGCGGGCCTAGCGATCCAAAAATTCCAACATGGTATCAGAGCCATGGTTCGGGTACGTGCAAGCCAATGAGCTTGTCACTCATAAGAAAACAAGTCTGAACTCTTAATATAGAGACAACCACTGAGTTCCAATTGAAAATAAGTAGGCCCAACGTGAGCCGACCTCTAAGTTTCAATTACCGATAAATGAAGTTACACGTGAGGGGGAATGTTAAAGTGTCGCACATCGGTGGGGTGAAGAGACCCAATGGGTTTAAATAGGATTACCCTACTCTAACTAATATCGAGACATTTTGTGGTAAAACTTCATACCTGATGGATTGGGCAGGTCCTTATACCTGATGGATTGGGCAGGTCCTCATACCTGATGGTATTGGGCAGGTGGTTAAGTTAAGGACAGTATCGATGTTGTTAGAATGGGACAGGCCTGACGATCCAAAACTCCAACACGCCACGTCATGTATATATCATTGGCGTAGCGGTGGGTCGGTGGACGTCTCGTACGGTCGACGGTGTCTTCCAATTTTCTACTCCTTAATTTGCTCTACATATAAGAATGAAATATAATTTTGTTGTGATACACAGAGGGGAAGAGGAGAATTAATCAAGTAATTAGCTCGACAGATAGACATGCAGTCTGCAAAGGAGAAGCTAAGCAATATGGCCAGTGCTGCCAAGGAGCACGTAGACATATACAGAGCTAAAGCTCAAGAAAAGGTGCTTCCATCTTGCATCTTGCATCTTGCATCTATTCACTATTTACAGTATACAGACTATTTGGTTTGGATTGTTGAAAATACGGAATGAGCACCGTAAAGTGTTTCTCATATAAAATTATTTGAGGATTTCTCAACAGAAGGAGACTTTATAAGCTCCTTAATTGGGATATTAGAAAGATTAGAAATTTGAAAAATAAAATAAATATATATTGGAATCGTTGTTTAGTTGTATATATTTAGTAATGTCAATAACGTCTGATGTCTGTTGGAATTGTTATTTTTATGTTGAAACTGTAAGTAGGTGGTGAAGGCGACAGCAAAAACGGACGAAGAGAGGGAAATAGCGAGCCAGATAAGAAGAGCGAAAGAAGCAAAAGCAAAGATGGAGTTTCTTGAGGCCAAAACGAAGCACTCTGCTGAAAAATCGACTGCTAGTGCAGAGAATAAATCCCCTACCGTCCATGGACAGGATGATCAGCCTGTGGTTGGGGTTGGTGATCATCGCGATGGCCATGGCAATGATCACCAACCTCACGATGCGGCTCCTCTGCCTAAAACCACGGTTCCGGCATACCCACTTGGAGGTTATCGCACCCACAAGTTTCCCTTGAAATAAATATACTACGTACGTTCTGGGGACTGTAAACCCTAGGTCCCTAGGTTTTGAATTTGAATAATCATGGAATTAAAAGTTTACATATTTAACTAGGGTTTAAGACCAAAGTTTATGTGTAGCTCTGTAAATTGCTCACTCTTGTGGGGTTTTTGTTACAAATGATCTTTTATGTATTGTAAAGTAGTTATTTTGGTCTTTAATGTTTTAAACTCATCAGTTTGGTCTTTCATTTATTGACTTCCTCATCAATGTTCTTTCTGGCCTTCAATTCCGTTGAATTTATTGCCTTGCTCGTCAACGTTGTTTCTAACCTTCGATTCCGTCGAGAATTATGTTAGTATGCTAACGTGTTATTTATGTAGGTTCTATGATCTTATCAATTTAGAGGGGATTAGAATGAATAAGTTTTTTTTTTGAATATTTCGTCTTGTACCCTTTAGTTGGTCATAATTTTTTTATTTCTCCCTCCACATGCCTTGAAATTGAGTGAGTAATATATCCTAATCGAATTTTACATACCAAACGAGTTTGCATGTGGAATCTATAAGTAAGATAGTGGCGATCATTTGTTTGCCAGAGTATTCCGAATATGGAAGTTCAAAGAAATTTCTTAGATGAGAGCAATAGAATTTCATTAGAGTTTAAAAAAAAAAAAGTAATACAAAATTAGGGGTGGATACAAACAGACCAAATCCACGGTTGATTTGGTTTGGTTTAAGAAAAAGGTTAAACAATTTAAAAATCAGATTGAATTAATTTACTTTTTATTTGGTTCGATTTTGATACTTTTGAAATCAGACTAAAATAAAATCGAATCAAACAAATTAACAATGGTTTGGTTTTGTTCGGTTTCACTACTAGTATTAGTCAAAGCCGAAGCAAACAGAACCGTTGAATACTAGTTAATTCAGTTATATCAAACCGAGTTAAATCGATCAGCGCCCACCCCTATACAAAACATAGTGAACCAGATTTCCACCAACAAAAACTAAAACTAAATCCCCTCCTACATTATTAAAGAACTCTAGAAACTACCCTACAACAGCTCCCCAATCTAATAATATCACAGAAGGTGACAGATACACCAAGGCTGGAGAAAGAAAGAGAACCCAAAATGAGGGCAAAAACCTCTTAATTCCTCGTTTTTGAATTGATAGTTAAAAGGACAATCAAACTATAAAAATAAACATGAACGTGCAAAAAACAAAGGGTAATGCCACAAAGAATGAACCTTACCTTTCTTCCACCATCAAAGGCAACATTTCCACAACGAATGTTCGAGTGTTATAAAGAATGAATAAGACTCGATCTGACCATTTAAACGACATATCGATGTTGATCACAGAAAACACCAGAACACAGATTTAGCATTACCACTACTAGTGTATATTACTGAATTATACGAAATGTTTACACTCAACTCCTACGTGCAAGTCCATGAACACAGGTCCAAGATGCTCTGTTGCCAACCATCAGTACAACCCAAACCTTACGGAACCAACCAGTTTTCAAACCTTAAACCTTAGGTATTAATATAATGGGACGTAGTCCTCCATATTTCTAATCGGCACCAGAACACGGATGACAAATTCACTCAAAAGTTAAAAGACCACTAAAATTATATTAAAAACTCCCTGGACTTGATAATCTGTTATAGAAGTCTTCATCTCCACTGCGATCTACCCCGGTATTCCACGCACTGTCTGATTTTCCCATCATGCAAGGCCTGACTCTTCACTTTAGCTGGCTTGGTATTGTGTTTCACTTCAAACCTTGGTAATGCCCTATTATTTTCTGTACTGATTGACATCCCTGGGAAGACCTCATCAAGAAACTCGTCTGCTACATCTCCATCTTCGTCTATCCTGAGTCTCTTTGCATGCCATTTTAGACCCTGGATGCAGAGATAATAGGAGTTGAGTAACGTTAGCTGCTTCGCTCCAGCCATGGAGATAAATATGACCCAAAGTATGAGCTTATACCAAAAACAACAAAGAAAATCCATAAAGTGTTGTTACAAGAAGGAAAACAAAATTGCCAGAAAAATATTATAATGACATTTCATTGCCTTGGCATTTGAATTAACTCCCGGCTTCTCACTATTTCATTTTCATCTCCCTGTTCTACAGCATCACTGACACATCTAGATTTAATAGCATATGGAATGACACAGATTCTAATCACCACTGCATAAACTACACTGTGCAACCAACCAACCCCAAAATCTTAAAAAGTAAATAGGATAAGTCTATCCCAGTACAGAGGGAATCAAGGCCAATGAAAGAACCACCACGCTGTACACTTTCATTAATCGAAAAGAAAAGTGCAATTTTAATGGAATAATAACGGTGGCTCTCCTAGAACTATTCAGTGTTATAGTTTCAATTATAGAAGATGTGAAATTAATTCCAGATATTTAAAGATCTGAAGTCCATAAGTGGATCTACCTACCGCAAATTGGCATTGGCATTGTTTCAGGTCTTTCTGCAGTAGAACTTACTCCAGGGTAAGAAATAAAACAAACACCATTAAAACTCCCTTGGGTGAATAAGGAAAAACATAATATCCTATAAACAGAAAAGGAATCTTCATTTCAATATTCTCATGCTTTCTTCACTAGCAGAAGAAAAGTTGACTCGACAGGAAATATGAGGGATACTCCGACTTTCTTCTTCAGGGAAACTCTAAGGAAAGCTGTAGACAGAACAAAACTGTCCCAAGTAAACAAAGTTCATTCCTACAATAAAAAGAGATGAAAAGCTGTCTACAGAGAAATCCCACAAGTCAGCCACGATCACTTGTCTCCCTCTATCAAACACAATGGCTTCCGAAGGGATAATAGAATTCTGGTTGTATAACTGAACACTTGATTATCCCAAAGCCAAAACAAGAGGAAGAAATTGACAGAGTCCCAGAGACCAACACCATTAAAGAGATGTGCGGCAATGCCAGCCCCTCTCAGCTCACCCTAGCCACCCTTTCGTTCCTGTAGCGTAAGAAGCTTCAACCACGCTGGCATAATATGCATGCTCATCTACACAGACTAAGTTAAGTCTGACCATCAAGGTTCCATGAAACTTAGGCTAAATTTATTAGAAATTCACTACAAAAATTAGACGGGCAGACTTGAAAATGACTGGATGCATTACATTTGGGTAGTTCGTTGAAAGTGTTCTCGTAGTGCATTTTTAAGAATCAAGTCTAAAGTTACAAAGACTGCAAAACTCACTCGTCCAAACATTCGAAATGAAACAAATTCCGACCCACACTACCCATAGTCTCTCAATTTCCACACAGTAATTGATTTTATGTAAATTCAGCTCATCCGCCAGTCATATGCCTAGTCACATTACAAAATTTCCCACATCTTACTAAACAATGGCAGCAAGGCAACTCACAGTCAAAGAATAAAGTCACAGAAACCAAGCAATTGAAACAGAACACACTTCAAATTTTGACCCAACACTGCAAAATTACGACTCTTCCAAAACCATTCAATCAACCAATCAAGCAATCGAAATCGAGGTACCTGGACACCGCCGTCGCCGGAGCGGCAAGGAACGATGACGGGACCGGGCAGGTTCCGATCAACGACGACTTGGCGGGGAACGCTGAAGCCTTTGCGGGGAAGCCCTGTTTCTTGAAAGTGGGCCCGATTGTGCGCTTGATCATCGTCTTCGTCTTCCTCCTCGTTGTCTTTCACTTCGGGCCCGTCGTCCTTGGCAAACCCTAGAAACCCCGCTATCCTCCTCAACAGCCCCATCTACTTCTACTGAGCGGACGGTACTCCCGACGACGCCGTATTAGGAGGAGGTCCGACTTCCGAGAGGGAGTGTGAGATCCTGTAATTGTTGATGGATTGGCCAATTCGTGGTTTCTTAGTTTTCTTATACAAAATGCATATAAAAAAGGGAGGTTTAAGAAAAGATTCTGTTCACTTTTAATGAAAAAATATATTTATATCTTTTATTGGTAACTGTACTTTTAAAAATGGTTTTTTATTTAAAGAAAAGTATTTGTGAACTTTTTGTTAGTTTTTTTATAAAAAATCAAATGTTTTCTTTTGTATTTATTTTTTATTTTCCCAAAGAAAACAAATCATTTTGCATCGTGCATGTGCATCAATGCCCAAAAAAAAAAAAATCAGAAATGCCTGAAATAATGAGAAAATCCGACAAAAAAAATAATGAGTTTTTATAACAAACGATATTATTTACGTTAAAAAGATAATGAGTTAGCAATAACGTGGTTTAAATTCATTTTTTACGAAAATCGAACTTAACTCTCACTTAACTGAACACTTATTGTCAATTAAAACGTATAAAATTATTATTTTAACCATCTAATCAAAACTAAACACAAATAAAAAATATGGTCGGTACTTTAATCAAAAGAAATGATAACTGTAACTACCTGATTGGCTCAAGCCTCCTCCTCAGATGTTGATTGATATTTTCCCCAATGAAGTATGCAAACCCAAATAAAGTGATAATGGCCATTGTAGTCACCCAATTTTTGAAAATTTAACAATGCACTTATTATTTTGTTTATTTTTTTTAACAAGCGATATTATTTATACTAAAGGAAGAGTGTTGGGTTTAATCTCACAATAAGCTAGCAATAATGTGGTTCAAATTCTCTTTTAGCGAGAATCAAACTTAAGACATCTCACTTACAAGTAGAAAGAAATATCACTAACCGTAATACTAAGTGACTATTTAACAATGCACTTTGTTATCAATTAATTTTTTTAAAAAAAAAGTTATCAATAAATTGCCTAAATGAATTAAGTTTTCATATTTTACCTTTCCAACGATGTCATCATGAATGATAAATTGAACGAAACCTTTTAAATTTGGCCCAAGCACGGCACAACACGAAATTCGTAGAGCTCATCATAAACGGATTGGGTCAGCCTCACTCATTGTACACTTTTAAGAGTAACCTATTTATACTAGAGTACAGTAAGCCTAGAAACCCTTAATGGTCACTATTCTCAAATATAGTGTATAAAGCTGAACTGTTTTTGTTCATTAAGGTGGAGGAGAGCACATGTTTAGTAAACTAAGTGAAGGAGAGAAATGAGATTCTACTGATTTTTGTTCATACACAATGCTTCTCCTGTACATACATATTTAGTATGTAATTTCAGCAACATGTGTTGTTTGTAAGCTGAATGTATATTTAGTAGAATATTTAAGCCGAAATCTAAGAAAACAAGTGAAAATATAGTAGTGAGCCTCAAAACATTGTCAAATAGGGTTATACCCTCAAGAATCTCAACATAAAGTTTTACTTTAATTTTCAAAACTTCACAGTGAGGCGAAGGTGAAAATAAATCGTGAGATCCAACATTTTTTGTCAAAAATGCAAATTTTTATTTTTACGAAATATTTTCCGTGAGCATTGAGGAAAACTTTATAAGGCATTTGGAAGTGGTTTTACGGTTTATTGAGCACTAAATGTACATTTAGTATAATATTTAAGCCGAAAACTAGGAAAATAAGTGAAAAATATAATAGTGAGCGTCAAAACATTTTTAAAATGGGGTTCCATACTCAAGAATATCTACGGAAAGTCCTTCTTTAATTTCAAAAATACATGGTGAGGCGAAGGTGAAAATAAGTAGGTTGAACGATGATATATGTACTGTGACAGCCCGTCCCAGATTTTTCGTACTGTAGGGGTGAAATGACGGTTTTGCCCCTAGTATGGTTGTTTCGTTGTGTGGTTGTTTTTGGATGTTGCTTGGCTGATTTTGGACCACACACACACCCCCACACTCCCTCATCCCTTCCCTATCCCATATAACTGTCCTTTTCCCTCTCTCTCTCCCTTTCCTATCTCCATATGTACGGACAACACCAAAACAAGTCGAAATCGTGGTAGATCGAGGAAACAAATTACATATTTGTGCTCGTGAGGTCCTTAGGAGTTCAACCATACCCATTTCAGGTAAGGATACCTTCGTTTTCACGTCGAACTCGGGATCCCTCGATTTGGTCATTGTTCATGCACACATTAATTCTTGTGTTTTTGGGAATTTCAAGCTTGTAGGAAGCTTGGTGAGGTCCTTAGGAGGCTCGGGGTGGTTCGTTTGAAGGTTTTGGACGTCGGGATCGTGAGTTACAAGTTTGGCCGGAGTTGGTAGTGTTTTCCCGGCGAGATTCTGTGGGTTTTAGTGCTTCAAAGTGGTATGGATTTGTTCCTCTTGTTGTAAGCTTCATTTTGGTACCAATTTTGTGAAATTTGGTTGAAAAACGAAGAAGATATAAAGTTTTGAAAATTTCCCGGTTTTCCGGCGCCGACGACGGCGCCGGAGTTTGGCCGGAAAAGATGACGAAATATTCCGTCAGTTTGGACTAAATATTCCTAACGACGTTAACGACATCAGTTAGATTTAACGGAATATTCCTGACGGCGTTAACTGACGCCATCAGTGTGCCAAGCACGTGCCTGCGTGTGGCGGCGAGTGCGGCCGTGCCTTGGTCGGCGCGTGGGGGTGCGTACGGCGTCGAAAAATTATTTTAAAATATGGGGATGTTCCTGAGGTTGAGTAGATTACGTTGGTGTATTCATACACCCCATTTGAGCATTGTATGAGAAGTTATTTCGTATGGTTGGTTATGTGCTTTAAAATTAACGTTTTTATAGTTGTTTCGCATATAGGTGACACCTATCCCGAGGACGAGCGTGGTCACTCGAGGCAAGGGGGTTACGACCCTTCTACATACCAGTGAGTGGGCTTTTGGTTTTCCGTATATACCTATATACTTATGTTTTTCCCAGAAAGTGAATTGAAACGTTTATACGTTTATATGCCATGCATTATGTTTGCCGTTTGTTTATGCATTATTAGTTGCATATATATATATAGCCTTGGTCGGCGCGTGGGGGTGCGTACGGCGTCGAAAAATTATTTTAAAATATGGGGATGTTCCTGAGGTTGAGTAGATCACGTTGGTGTATTCATACACCCTATTTGAGCATTGTATGAGAAGTTATTTCGTATGGTTGGTTATGTGCTTTAAAATTAACGTTTTTATAGTTGTTTCGCATATAGGTGACACCTATCCCGAGGACGAGCGCGGTCACTCGAGGCAAGGGGGTTACAACCCTTCTACATACCAGTGAGTGGGCTTTTGGTTTTCCGTATATACCTATATACTTATGTTTTTCCCAAAAAGTGAATTGAAACGTTTATACGTTTATATGCCATGCATTATGTTTGCCGTTTGTTTATGCATTATTAGTTGCATATATATATATGTGTGTGTGTGTGTGTGTGTGTGTGTGTTGGTGCTGTGGACGCACATGTAAGTGCCAGGTAAGTTATGGTTTATGTTTATGTTCAATAGTGATTTTAGACGCATAGAGAGCTCATAACCTGCACCCCCGGTGTTAGCGCTCCCGCCCAGAGTTGGGCTCAGTCCTTCACGTGATGTTCACCTCCCGCACCACACGCTCATCTTGGATCCAAATTAGGTGCACAGTCCTGTCGTACAGACCACTTTAGGTGGTTCTGACTCTTAGGTGACCCGCGATTATTCGCTCAGTCTTCACGTGATCGTAGCACTTAAGCGTACTTAGTATACACCCAGTCCTGTCGTACAGACCACTTTAGGTGGTTCCGACTCGTGTGCAGGTATAGTTAGTGAGTTGGAGATTTGAGCTCTAGATTCAGCCCTACAGGTCACATTAGGTGACTCCGGCTGACAGATGACATGGCATTGTTTGGCATTACCTGAGTACTTGCATTTTATATCAAGGCATTTGGCATGGCATATTTCCGAGCATGATTTATATATATGTATATATTCTATTTTTCTGGGAAGTATACAGGTTTTACGGCGAGGGGTTAGAACTTGTTTTTGAAATGGTTTTTGAAAAGCTTTGTTTTTGCCCACTCACGCTTTCTGTTTTGCGTCCCTCCATGTTCTAGTTTGGCTAGCGCTTTTGGTGACTCCCCAGAGGATTTTCCCGGCTTATCTGACAGATTATCACCAGTGTAGGACCACCTTTGGGTGTGTTTATTTAGTATTGTTTCTCCCGGACTGCACTAGGTTTTCCGTGCTCTGAACTTTGTTTCTCACACTTACGCTTGCACATGTATGTTATTACTTTGTGTATAGCTGGTTTTTATTTATTCGTACTTTTATTTTTATTTATTAGCTTCCGCACTGTGCACATGGTTACGTCACTTCCACGTGACGGCCAGCATGCCCTGATCTCGGTCGGGGTGTGTCATGTACGAACTTGCAAAACCGACTAAAAATGGTAAGTGTTAACCCACGTTTTTTTGTCAAAAAAAAAAAGCAAATTTTTTATTTTCGGGGAATGTTTTTCTTGAGCATTGAGGACAACTTTATAAGGCATTTGGAAGCGGATTTACGATTTATTGAGCAAAAAATGTAAATTTAGTGAATATTTAAGCTAAAAACTAAAAAAATTAATTGAAAAGTATAGTAGTAAGGCCCAAAACATTGTCAAATGGAGTTCTACCTTAAGAATCTCAATGAAAAGTTTTACTTAATTTTCAAAACTGCACGATGAGGCGAATATGAAAATAAATAAATTGAACGATAATTTAATTAAGTACCACTGAGTGAGGATTGGTAGCGTGGTACCGATCTTTCCCTATTCCAATTTATTTATTTATTCTACTTTCTTATTTTTTCCCTTGAATTTTTTCTTCATACTTTACCTTATTTGAGTAACCACTATTAAATTAAATATCTTAAAATTTAGGTTTTAAATTGATGATTACAAGTACTTAAATATGAACTATAATAGATTTTGCATGGAAAAATATATTTAGAAGAACATGAATATTATAGTTTCTTATTATGGTGAGAGAAATAAAAGAAAAATTAGCACCAAAACAAAACTATAAAAAAAATAAAAT